AGAGAGAGAGAGAGAGAAGCATAAGAAAGATGTGGGACACAATGAAAAGAACCAACATAAATGGAATTTAAGCTCAAGAAGCAGAGAAGAGAGAAATGGACAGAAGCCATGTCTGAGGAGATAAAACCCAAGAATTACATTAATATACAGATTCAAGGAGCTCGAACAAAATTCAAACACATGAAAACAAAACAAAACAAAAAAACTATACAAAGGCACATTAGAGTAGAGCTCCAAAAAAATCAAAGACAAGAGAAAAATTTTAAATAGCCATAGGAGGTGAAAAAAAAGATACATTAAGGAGCCACAAGACCTACTCCACACAAGCAATGAAAGCCAGAAGACAAGAGAAGGATGAAGATAAACGCCAAAATTAAATAACTGGTAGTCTAGAATTCTACATCCAGTGAAAATACCCTTACAAATGAAGGTTAACAAATATCTCAGGTGAATAAAAACTGAGTGAATGTGTTGTCAATGAGTGGATAAAGAAAATGTGGTGTATATACACACCATGGATTACTGCACAGTCATTAAAAGGAACAAAATAATTTATTTAGCAGCAACTTGGATGGAGCTGAAGGCTGTTATTCTAGGTGGAGTAACACAGGAGTGGAAAACCAAATACATATGTTCTCACTTATAAGTGGGAGCTAAGCTATGAGTATGCAAAGGCATACAGAATGATATAATGGACTTCAGAGTCTCAGAAGGGGGAGGATGGGAAGGAGACCAGGGATTTTTTAAAAATACACATTAGGTACAATGTACACGACTAGGGTGACTGGTACACTAAAATCTCAGAATTCACCACTGTATAACTCATCCATGTAACCAAAAACCACTTGTACTCCAACAGCTATTGACATTTTTTTAATTAAAAAAAAATGTTGTCAACATAGACACACTAAAAAAATACTTTAAAGGGAGTTTACTCAGACAAAACAATCTAAGTTAGAAGAACGGCAATGCAGAAAGCAATAGAGAGCAAGAAATGGTACATACGAGAGTACACTGAAATGCACATAGTCTATTTCAAACAATAAACATAAGAATGTCTTATAGGATTTCAAATACGTAGAGAAAAAAAAGCATGACCAAACTAGCATAACAGAAGAAGAGAGCTAGGTAAATGGAATTAAAGTTGTGTAAGGTTCCTGTATTGCCCAGAAAGTGGTGAAATTATTAATTGAAGGGTAAATTCTGTTAAGACATATGGTAAATCTCTAGTACAGGTTGTTAAACTGTCACCATTGCCAAAATCAAACCCAGAGCCTGTTTTGTACAGTTGAAGAGCTAAGAATGTTTTTCATATTTTTAAAGAATAGTGGGGGTAGGAAGAGAAGGAAGAGGAGGAGGAGGAGGAGAAGGATTGGGAAGAAGAAGGAAAGTCACAGACTGAAGGTGGTGCTCAAAGCCTAAAATATTTACTTTTTTTTTTTTTTTTTTTTTGAGATGGAGTCTCGCTCTGTCACCAGGCTGGAGTTCAGTGGCACGATCTCGGCTTATTACAATCTCGGCCTACTGGGTTCAAGTGATTCTCCTGCCTCAGCCTCCTGAGTAGCTGGGACTAGAGGTGTGCACCACCACACCCAGCTGATTTTTATATTTTTAGTAGAGACGAGGTTTCACCATGTTGGCCAGGATGGTCTCGATCTCCTGACCTTGTGATTCGCCCACCTCGACCTCCCAAAGTGCTGGGATTACAGGCGTGAGCCACCGCGCCCGGCCAATATTTACTATTTAACCCTTTACAGAAGAAGTTCATCATTCCCCACTCTGGGTAATACTGAACAAATAATAAAAGAATGTATAACTAACAAACTAATAGAGGGAGGAAATAGAATAATAAAAAACAATTAAAAGAAGGCTGCAAAGAGAAAAAGGGAACAAAAGTAAATAGAACAAATATAAAAACAAATAATAAAATCACAGAATGAATACCAAAAATATCAGGAATGTATTAAAATTTAACTAGACTCAATAATCCATTAAAGTAAAAAGATTGCCAGACTAGAAAAACCAAACAAAACAAGAAGACTCAGCTATATGTTACTTACAACAGACAGAAACAGAAACAATTTGCCATGAAAACACTAACCAAAAGAAAGCTGGCTTAGCTATCCCGATATCAGACAAAGCAAGACTGTAAGGCAAGAAGTATCTCCAGAGATAAAGAGGAGCATTTCATAATGACAAAAAGTCAATTCAGCTGGAAGATTTGATAATCTGAAGTTTGTATGCACCTAAAAAGAAAACCTAAAACGTGCAAAGCAAAAACTGACAAAAGTAAAAGTAAAAACACATCCATTATCATAGTTGAAGATTTCAAATACATCTTTCAGCAACTGATAGAATAAACTTTCAGACAATAAATCAGTAAAGATACAGACTTGAACAAGATGATAAACAAGGGTGAACTTAGTGACTTATACAGAACATGGAGCCCAACAATAACGGGATTACATTCTTCTCAAGTGTGTGTGGAACATTTAACAAAATAAATCATATTCTGAGTCATGATGCAGATTTCAGTACATTTCAAAGGGCTGAAATCATACAGAGTATGTCCTCTTACAAGAGTGAAAATGTAGTAAAAATTAATAGGAAACATTCTTTAAATCCCCAAATGTTTGAAAATGACTAAATAACAGTTCTAAATAAGCCATGTTTCCAAACAACAAATCAGAAATTTAAAATTTTAATGGAAATTAGAAAGTATTCTGAACTGAATAATAATGAAGAACCAACATGTTAAAACTTGTAGAATAGAGTTGAAACTATGCTTAAAGGAATAATGTATACCCTTAAATATGTATTTTAAGAAAAAAAGAATGAGAGAAAATCATTGATCTAGTGACTATTTCTAGGAGACAGAGAACAGCAAATTAAGACAAATAAATTAGAAGGAAAAAATCATAAAATATAAGCCAAAAAAATGAAATAAACATAAAATAGAAAAAAAAATCAACAGAGCCAAAAATCGGTTCTTTGAAAAAAACTAATACAATTTGCAAATCTCTCAAAAGACTGATCAAGAAAAAAGAAGGAATGAGCTACTAATATAAATCATGAAAAAGGTGCCATCACTAAAAATCCACACAAGCATCAAAGTGGCAATGAGATGATGTTCTGAACAACTTTCTGCCCCAAAATTTGACAATTTAGATGAAATACACAATTTCTTTTTTAAAAAAAAGCACACATACAACTTGCAAATATTGACACAAGAATTAGAAAGCCTTTATTTTTCTTTGTTCTATTTTTAGTAAAGACAAGCTCTCACTATGTTGTCCAGGCTTGTCTTAAACTCCTGGACTCAAGTGATCCTCCCGCCTCAGCCTCCCAAAGTGCTGGGATTCCAGGCATGAGCCACCTCAGCTGGCCAGAGTTAGAAAGTCTTTATCATCCTATCCACTAAAGCTGAATGTTGCATTGCCATGATCCAGTGATTCAATCTGAGAAATGACTACCGAGACATACTGAATATGCCCTGAAATGTTCTTAGGGAAACTATTTCTAAGAGATTAAAAAACACTGGAAGCTACCCAAATGTTCATCAATAGTAAAAACATTAAATATATCACGGTGTATTCATGCAGTGGAATACTATACAACAATGTAAACATTGAACTACTCCTCTAGGCAACAACATAAATGAATTTCAGTCACTAATGTTGAACGAAAAAAGTCGGATACAAAAAAAATAATACTGTGTGAGATTCCATTCATGAAACAAAACCATTTTGATGAAAGGCAGATGTCGGTTACTTTGTGGAGGTAACAGGTGGGAGGAGCATAGGAAGCCTTGGGGATGTGGGTGATGTTACCTATCTTGAAATGAGTTTGTCTACTATGTAAACATTTATCAGGCTGTACTCTTAAAATTGTGTACTTTTCTGAATATATGATAATGTCAACCTTTTAAATTTACAAATAAATATTAGTCCAGGCACAGTGGCTCACACCTGTAATCCAGCACTTTGAAAGGCCAAGGTGGGCTGATCACCCGAGGTCAGGAGTTCAAGACCAGCCTGGCCAACATAGCAAAACCCCATCTCTACTAAAAATACAAAAATTAGCCAGGCACAGTGGCGGGCGCCTGTAATCCCAGCTACCTGGGAGGCTAAGGCAGGAGAACTGCTTGAGCCCGGGAGGCAGAGGTTGCAGTGAACAGAGATTGCGCCACTGCACTCCAGCCTGGGTGACAGGGAGAGACTCTCTCTCAAAAATAAAATAAAATAAAATAAAAATTAAATAAGTCTCTGATGCAAGGTTGTTTCTGGGTGTCTGTGTCTTTCTAATAAAAGTAAACAGCAACACAATATTTACCCCTTCATATCCTTATAATAGAACTTGAGAGCACTTTAAAAGCTTGACCCTGGGATCACGTTTTTCCCAATACTCGACTGGAAGAACGACTCCCCTCCCGCTTGGGAAGAGACAGTTCTCTCTATCTGTTGACCTACAGCATAAGGAGGATAAGGTGTGGGATTTTAGGAGGAAGGGGATTTGACCCCCATCTAAGAAGCCATATCAGAAGGATCCACCCATGAAAGCAGCGGAGTACCCAACAGAGAAGCTAGCAACAGATTCTCAACTTTCTGACTATTGGGTTTTCTAAAATGGGTATTTACAATATGATAGAAACCATTTGAGCCTTCGTTATTCAGTGTACCCTTCACCTCTAAGAGTTTGGATGATTGAATGGTGCCTTTCATGCCAGAGGGGTGACTGCTTTTGCAAAGGCATCAGATCGGGGTACTTTTCACCAGAGAAATCCTTCCTCCAAACAATCAGGAGAGAAAAGAGAATCTGAACGAAAATTAATACACTAAATTTTAAAGACAAAAAGGTAAAGCTGTTTTTGCCATGGTTTTCCCATACCTAGATTTACTTTCTTGATTGAAGTAGTTTTGTGGGTGTAAGTGATTTTTTTGAAGAGCAAATTTAAAGACTTTTTATGTGTCCCAATAGAAAACATGTCATCTCGAAAATAATTATTTTTGTAATAATCTGTTTATTAATGAAGTGATCTGCAAAATAGATAATGGTTTCTCAGGATTTCAGGCACAGAGATCCTTCCTTCTTCTGCATTTTACTTTGTTTTGCAAAAGTATATCAAGAAGCAACTCAAAATTTGCTGACAGATTTTCTTAAGTACAACAGTTTCAGAAATGCATGCTCAAGTGGGTTAAATATGCCCACACTCATTGGATTGTGCCCCTAAATTATTCTCTCTGGTAATGGAAATGTTTTAAAACTGGTTGTGATGGCTGCACACCTCTGTAAATTTACTAAAATTCATTGAGTTGCACACACAAAACAGATGAATTTTATGATATGTAATAATTCAAAAAAGGTGTCTTTTTAAAAAAGGAAATCAATTGAACATTTTAAAAAAATTATTTCCTCTATTTCCCCATCTTGTTATGGCAATACTGAGTGTTGAGAAAGAAACATTTCAGGGAAAGACAGCAACTATGCAAATGCTAATTAGATGCAAATATGGGGAAAGAAGATTCAAGAGTCCTAGTGGCCCACAAGTTGAAAAATGAACACAAGTCAGCAGCAGAACGTTATTTTTTCTGCTGTTTTGTGCTATGTCTTAGAACATATCCCCTTTTAGGGGACACAGTATCTCTTATGCCTTAACACCAGAGATTTGGCATAAAAATGGAGCCTGGGTACTCCCAAAGTCAGTACTTAGTTTAATACTTATTCTCACTTATTACTTGTTACTCTTTCTACTTCTTTCATCTTCATTAATTACCACGCTGTTCAGTCCTTATGTTGTCTGTGTAAAGGCTAGTATCCACAGGCATGCGAACTTTTCCATCTCTGAGGACAGGAATCATATTGTATTCTTCCTTGTACCTGGAGTCAGTGAAAGCACTTGGCCAGAAAGGGCCCCATTTTTCTCCTTCCTGGTCCAGTGCCTGGCAAAAAGAATAGGTTCAAAAATGTTCATTTCCTTCCTTTCTAGAATCCAGGTGCTCCATCAATACCAAACCTATAACATAGGCCTGATAAAAGAGGCCATGGCACTGCCGTGTGGCCCATAGAGGAAGCATCATTCAGGAGGGTCACCGTGGTCCCTGCAGTTGAATAGGATCTGAATCCAGTGGACAGGAGGCCCTTCCCCTTTTCTCCAGCCATCCAGCCATTCCTTGCATCACAGTCAGTGCACAGCCCCCCAACCCCAGGCAAGCCTGTCCTGCACCCTGTGGACTCTTTCGTCCACCTGCTGGAGTCTGGCAACCTCTTCCTGGCATCACAGTGACCCCTCCACCTGTGTCTGAGGCTCTGTCCAACAGGCTTTGAGCAGCCCACATCCAGCTCAACTTGGACCCAGGGCCCAGCCCAGTCCAGCCCAGCACGGAGAGAATTGTGCCTCAGCTGGAGGGTGGATGGTGCTCTGTGGTTCCAAATGGCCAAGGCTGGGCACACTGGAAGGACGCCCACAGAAGAGATGGGACACACTCACTGTCCCAGCCACTTGCTCACTGCCCACCTCCATAGGCCCTCCTAAGCTCCAGGAGGAGTGGGGGCTTCAACCGGATCTGTGCTTTTCTATGCCTGCCTAGGGCCTAAATGCCATAATCACAGAGCGCTTCCTGCCGCCTGGAAGAATCAGTAGGTTTTTAACCTGCATTTCTAGAATCTTTTTACATTCTCCCTGACAACTCTGTTACTTTGGGTTAAAAACAAACTTTAGCAGCTGTGTAACCTTTAGTCTACAAAGATTGTCAGATCCAAATTCAGAAAATAACACTGCTTCAAACTCCTGTAGCTGAGAAGGCCCAAGGTGACAAAATCCAGGAGGGGAGAAAGCTGTTAGCTGAGGATGCTAAGGACAGAACAGGGGGAGGTCAGTTACATTTCATATTAGCCAGAAGTGTCTAACTTATGTTACATTTTGGAAAAAAACAAGCTGCAATAATGTCACCACTAAATTAACACCATTAAAGAAAAGCAATTACTAGTGCTTAGAGTTATAGACTCTAATAACAATAATAACACACACAGTATAGCATCTGAGTGGTTAAGGGTCTCGCTTTGAGAGTTACAACCAGATTCGAATCCCAGTCTCACCATTTTATGGCAATGCTGTGTGTTTACCTAACTTCTCTGTGTCTCTGTTTCTCTATTTGTGCAGTGGAAAAGATGCCCAACTCTTCAAGGTAATGAGAGATTAAATGAATGGAAGCGAGATTCAAAGGACTTGAGGTAGACAGAATACCAGCCCCTCAAAGATGTTGTCTTCCACATTCCCCAAAGCTGTGCATATGTTACCTTATATGGCAAAAGGAACTTCACAGATTTGCTTAAATGAAGAGAGGGACCTAGACTAGCTGGGTGGACCTAGCATAATCACAAGGGTCCTTCTGAGAAGGAGGCAGGCAGTTCGGAGTCAGAGATAGCAATGCCATGGCAGAAGAGAGGTCAGAGAAAGAGTTAAAGACACTTTGCTGCTGGCCTTGAAGACCGAGGAAGGAGCCAAGAGCCAAGGAGTGCAGGCAGCTCCTGGCAGCTGGAAAAGGCAAGGGAAGCCTCCTAGAGCCTCCTGAAGGAACACAGCCCTGCAGATTCCTCGATTTTGGCCTCTGGTTTCCAGAACTATAAGATAATCCATGTATGTTGCTTTAAGCCACAGATTTTGGGGTAATTTGCTACAGGAGCAAAAGAAAACTACATGGGGCTTTGAGCCTACTTTAGCACAGTGCCCAGCACATTCTAGAATGTCTCCAAGTGCAGCCAGTGCTAGTAGCTACTAATACCTGGAGGGACATTAACGATTCCTTTGTGACCAAACACCCATCACACGCCTTCAGCTCTTCCAAGGGACTTTCTTCTCTCCACTCGGTCATCTCCACTGACAGGCGCTCTCACCCCGAGAAGCTCCTCTGTTTTAGGAAGCTGTGAGATGGGTATAGAAGGGTCACTCTGGGGTGGACCTGAAATTTGCCTGCTAGGCCTTTCCCGAAACCAGGGCCCCTCTGCTAATGACATGCCTTCAGATCATTGCATGCAGGTCTCAGCTAACCCCAGAGGCTTCATACCTAAACTCTGAGTTTTCTTACCTTCAGACTGACCTCTTCCAGTTCCTTAAATGTTTCTCAGATGACAGGATTCAGAGCTCCCTCCCCGAGACACATCGCTCATCTTCGTCTCCACACTCTCGGGCATCTCACAAAGGGGAACTCACCACCAAATGCAACATTCCAGGTGTCAAGAGCATCTCTTTCATGCTTCCCTCAATTCAACCCAAGGCCACAATGGGCTCAGAGCAGCTGAACAACGTGCCGTGTTACTGTCAGCTGAGATTCTTGTTTTTTTTTTTCTCTCTGCCGATGATTTTGCCTCTTGGCCCTGCACTCACACAGGGACTATTTGGACGGGAGCATCTCACCCTACCGTTTCCCTGTTTCATCTTTTTTTTTTTCTTTTTTTCCTGTTTCATCTTATATCATTACATTTAGCTTAGCACTGTAGTCTGTTCTTTGGGCCCTGGTGTGTCAACCAAAGTATTCTCTGCATGTCGTCTCCAAATGTGTCAGGTATTAACTAAGTCATCTATGTCCACACACTAATAAAAATATCAAATGCGAAAATGACTGTGCCTTCAACTAGAAATGCACTTCCGCAAGGACATTGACTAGCATCTTTGGGAATGGCCATAAAAACAGTTCTAAATCCACCTAACAGGCATGCTGGTCTGCAGCTGAAATTACTTCATCTCATGCACAAATTTATCATGAGATTCCTTGACAGACAGACAAGCCGAGGTGTACTTTGTCTCTACCATAGCTAACACAATTCCCTGACATAATAATCTAGCAAGCCCACCACGAAACTGGGAACACAGTTACCTTGTCGTGGCTTGCTCTTAAAGAACCCACACAGGCTTCTAGAGGATTCTGCTCCATTTTTCACGTGCTCACAAGTCAGCCTTAAGTAGTCTGATCAGAGAACTTAATGAGGATGGATAGGAGAGCCCCACTTCTGTAGTTTGCAGGAGCTTTCCCCCTCTTTACTAATCAGACCTATATTTTGCCATCTCTAGCGTTCCAATTTCTTTCACAGTCTCCATGTTCTGTAAAGATTATCAGCAGAGGCTTTACAGCTTCAGAGGCGAGTTCTCTCTACTCCCTGGAGTGTAATTTGTCCTGGCCAAGAGACTTGAGCTCATTTACGGCAGCTTGGTACTGTTAGAATCTTTTTACTCATCTAGAGCTTCAATTTTCTCTTACCAAAGTTTCTTTTTCTTTTGAGTCAATAGATTGTTCTCCTTGGCAAAGAAGAAGGGAGCTTGCTGTCATTCTAAAATGTAAATAGCGTGGTGTTCCTTGGTCAGCGTTAAATCCTTGGGTGACTGGCTCCCCTTGGCTTTCAGCAGTGATTCTCAAACTCCCCTGGGGTACTTGTTAAAAAAGCAGATTCTCCAAATCTCCTCTCAGAGGCTGTCAATTGCCATGTTAGTCAGGGTAAAACTAGCAGTTAAAACAAATCCAAAGATGTACGGAGTCTCAAGCATGACAGAATTTCTCATTCTCCTAAAGCCCAATAATGAGTGTTCTGGATCAGTGGGTGGTCATCTCCAAATAATAGTTCAGGGATTCAGGGCTTCCTCAATTTTTGTTGCTCTGCCACCTTCAACATGGGGCTTCCAAGATCCCTGTGCAAAAACATAAAGAGAAGGAAAAGTGCATGGAGAAGGTGCAGGGCAATTTTAATGACTCAGGTCTGGAAATGGCAAGCATTAGCTGCATTCACATTCTATTGGCTAGATCTCAGTCACATGAGTGCACCTACCTGCAAAGGAGACTAGAAAATCGTCTAACTGCAAGGATAGTCTCACTCCAAAGGATGCTGGGAAATGTAGTCAAGCTCAGGAAGAAAAGAGAGTTATGCTGAGCAGTCTGCCCATATGGACATAAGATAAGGCTTAAGAATCTGCATTTTCACAAACCTCCCAAGAGATTCTGATGTAAGACCCCATTTTGACCAACACCGCCCTGTCCACTCACAGTACAGGCACCCAAGGCCTTGCAAAGTGGGTTCCACAGTCCTCCCCAGCCCTGTCTGCTCCTCCACCTTGCTCTAATCATATAAAACACTGGCAGCTCCCCCAGCCTGCCCAGCTACTTCATGCCTCTGTGCTGTGTGTCTCCTTTTTCTTTGCCCTTTCTCCTTTGGTTCACTTGGCAAATTCCTGCTGATCCTTTGAGACTCAGTTCAAGTGTAAACTCTTCGGCCAGGTCATCCCTGACTCACCTGCCCCAGGTAGTACTGCAGAGCCTTTCCTCGTGTCCCTGACCTTCCTGGCCAGAATCTCATTATGGTATTGATTATGCTGAATGGCATTTTGCATTTGCCTTCCCATTTGACTGGGAGACCTCTGAGGGCAGTGACCTTTCCTTTGTGTACTCTGTACCTTACACCTTACCTGGTACCTCGTGGCAGTCAGGCAGTCAGGAAGAGTTGACTCCACAGAAGCCATAGAGAAGTTCCTTTCTTGATTTTCTGCCCATGCCAAAAAAAAAAGAAAGCTTTTTTTGGTTGTTGTTATCCTTACAATTTCACTGCCTTAATTAATTAGACCTAATTAGCAAACTAGGTTTGTGTGACTCTGCTACACTATGCTCTTTGTTCCCTTTTGCCAGCTCTACTCAAAGGTGAGCTTCTCCAGGAGCTGCCCTGGTCTCATCAGCAACCTGTTCCCACCTTACTATTTCTCTTCAAGAGCACTGGCAATTTACACATTTGGAATTTTACCAGGAGTTCTCCCACCTTCTTGAGCCATCTCTCTTCTTTTGGAGTCTCATGTCCTCTGATTTCTTGGGGACCATCAGAAGCCTGAATTCCTGAAATCTGGGAAGTACATCCTGTCATCCTTCCATTGTCGAGAAATCATGGAATCTAAGAAGATTGTTGAGGTAGCCAGCCTCCAAGATGGCGTCCAATGATCCCCACCTCCTGGTGTTCATAGCCTGTGTCCTTTCTCACAGTCAACCAGGGTCAACTGTGTGGTCAGTCCACGATTGGGCTCACTCTCTTGCTCTCTCATACGCTCACTCTCCTTCATCACTTGCTGCTCAGGCAGAAACCAGGTAGCCCTGTAAAGAGAGCCACATGGCAAAGAACTGAGGCCTCCAGCCAACAGCCATGCGAGTAAACTTGGCAGTGAATCCATCAGCCCCAGTAGAGCCTCGAGATGACTGTAGCCTCAGCTGACGTCTGACTGCAACTTTGTGAGAAACATGGAGCCAGGACCACCGAGCCACAATGCTCTTGGATTCCTGACCCTCAGACAGTGTGAGGAAATAAATCTTGTTTGTTTTAAGCTGCTAAGTTTTGGGCAAATTTGATAGGCAGCAATAAATGACTAATACAGTTGGGCTTCTTTCATTCATTCTCATCTTATCTTTCAGTCTCCTTTAGGTCAGACTTTAGCAGCATGCAAGATGCAGCCATCATCTAGGAATGCCCGGAGCTTCCTAGAGCAAGGCGCTGTTCAACTTCCACTCTGGTTTTGAGACAGATGAAGCTTTAGCCTTCATCTAACCGGACTCCCTCCTTCTATATGTCTGCATGAAAATTATTACATATTTAAATATGTACATATTTACATATAAAAATACGTAATATTTTTAAATATTACTAAATATTTAAAATAAAAAGAAATAAGAAAAATAGAGTTTTAAACCGTGTCTGTTGCATAGTAAGTGCTGAACTAATATCTGCTTTTGCTGACATTGTCATCATTCGTACATCGTTATTTCACGTACTGTCGCCCCAACTCAACGTTCCATTGCTTTTGAACAATACATACACATGAACTGCCACACCTCAATTTTGATTCCCAGTAAAACTGGCCTTGAGGATAATGATAAGTCATAGCTGTACCCTTTTAAAATCTCAAATTCAGTTTAATTGAATTTGCCTGTAGACTGCCGGGCACAGTGTCTCACGCCTATAATCCCAGAACTTTGGGAGGCCGAGGCAGGTGGATCACTTAAGACCAGGAGTTCCAGACTAACCTGGTCAACATGGAGAAACCCCATCTGTACTAAAAATGAGCCGGGTGTGGTGGCACACTCGTGTAATCCCAGCTACTCGGAAGGATGAGTCATGAGAATCGCTTGTACCTGGAAGCAGAGGTTGCAGTGAGCCAAGATCGCACCACTGCACTCTAGGCTGGGCACAGGGTGAAACTGTGTCTCAAAAAAAAAAAAAAAAAAAAAAAAGAATTTACCTGTAGATTGGTATAGAAATACCTTAGATTTCAAATCTTGTTCTGACTCTTTCCTAAACCTGTCTATTTTCCTATTTAAATTCTGGGTGTATCTAGTGAAATTTTACATTAGCCAGAACTCTCTAATTTTGAAATTGTCCTGAAGCCATATCGACATTATTGAGGGTTTAGACTTTAACTAGAAAATACTCATTGCATTCTAGGAAAATTCACAGCCACCTAAAGGAGATGTGTCTGATTTGCAATCATTTCCCTGAATCTGCAATAAATGAATCTACAAAGGATTGAAATTTTTTTAACAAAAATTGTCTGATAAATATTTTGTAAGGGTTTGAGAGTAGTGAAAAATGTTAACATAACAGGCCTATAGCGTTACTACTTTTCCACAGTTAGCATTTGTTTCCAATAGTCTAGAGGAGAAACCTTTTATCTCAACAATACTACATTCTTCCATTTGTAATAGTCTCTGATTTTTAAGCAGTTACTATTCAAAACATTTTATAACCTGATAGAAATATTCCTTTCTTTATACAGTCAGGTAACCCGGCATACTTGCACTATTTTCCTTAGAGCCTAATTGTGGCAAACCATTCATCGTGAGTGCCTGAGGCCTCTACCTCATCACCTGTCTGTTCTGTTTCATTCCTAAAAGGCTTCTTTTGCCCCATGTTTTAACCTGTGAGTTGCTCAAGGCCTCTTGGAAGTAGGTAGGTGATACATCTTAAATAAATGAAAATAAATTAGTGTGTTTCTGACCAGTTGGATGTGAACTGAATTTCCAGTAAATCAGCCACAGATTAAGTATCTAAGGGAATAGGTTCACTCAAGGGAAGCCCATGCATCCTTTTGTGATGCAAACTAGAAAATCCTTCTGCTTTACAATTTTGAATTTTCATATATCATATTTTCTTACAGTAAGGTACACCTGGACCAGATGGTGGCTTGTATCACAGACTTTAGGCTATTTTTAAGACCCTCAGTAAATATTCAGCAGGTACCCTGGTGAAATCATCACTTCCTTGTCACCCTCTGTTCCCTGGGCGTGAAGCCTCAGCAATGCTGTTGACGTTCATGTTTCCACTAGGTGTGGTCTCACAGATGTTTCCCCCTGGACCCCTCAGCATAGAAAACGTGTGCAGCTTCACAGATTCTGGTAGGGGTGAACATGAAGAGGAGACACGGATTTACATAGTCCAGAGGACCCAAAATAGCTGAAACCATTAGATACTTCACACCGTAAACCAAGGTTAATCTCAAACTCTGAGGCTGCATGAAACGTGACCCCCAACACTTCCATCTGCAGGAAGAATAGAGAATGTGTGTCTTGGAAGACAGGCTGTCATTTGCTTGTGACCATGACAGGCTACTTCAGTTGTGGGGGTACGGTGATTGCCAGTAACTCTGGAGACAGAGCCCTGGACCCAGGTGTGTTCAATAAATTGCTGATGAAAATGAGATTCACTGCCAAGGCTCCACAAGGTCATCCAGTCTCCTCCTGCTGTGCTCCACGTGCAGCCCGTGTGGACTGGGTTCCCTCTCAGGCTGCCTGGGTCCCAGCAGAGGGCAGAGGACAGTGGAGGGCCCTTGTCCTGGGGACAGTCAAGGCAGAGCAGTCACCACTTGTGCTGGGTGAGTGGTCACTGGCCTTCCCCTGGCCCTACTGGGGGCTCCAAAATGACCATAATCACAAGCCTGATACTGGCCCTAAGTCCTACTGAAAACCCAGAGGGAGATGGAAACAGTGGCACTGATGGATTCTAAAGCTGAACAGGAGGTAGGTGGGAACCTTACCTCTTTTTTCTTAAAAACAGCTTAAAAATACGTTTATGCCAAGAGCTATCAGGGCTCAATCATCTCTCAAAAGTCTCCTGAATTTTGGCCAGACGTAGTGGCTCAGGCCTGTAATCCCAGCACTTTGGGAGGCAGAGGCAGGCAGATCACTTGAGGTCAGGAGTTCGAGAGCAGCCTGGCCAACATGGTGAAACTTCATCTCTACTAAAAATAAAAATAAAAATTCGCTGGCGTGGTGGTGCACACCTGTAGTCTCAGCTACGTGGGAGGCTAAGGCAGAAGAATCTCTTGAACCTGGAAGGTAGAGGTTGCAGTGGGCCAAGATCGTGCCACTGCACTCCAGCCTGGGTGATAGAGTGAGATTCTGTCTCAAAAAAAAAAAAAGTCTCCTGAATTGTATCATTAGTGAACATGCTTCAATGAGTGTAAAAAAAAAAATCACTCTAAAATTCAAACTAAATTTTCCTTGCAATCTATCCTAACAATCATCTGGGTCTTATTTTTAATAATCTGTCATAGAGGAACACCGGCCCCTTCTTTAACACTGAAAAAGGAAAGTGACATTTCAATCACTGTCAACAATTTAACAACCAATAAATATATACTGAGCAACTCTTCAGTCCATTCCTCCGGACACCATGGATGAAGAATCACATTACCAATGGAGAGAGCAGAAGCTGCTCTCTTAAAACGCCCAAGCAGTGTCTCATGTCAGTTTGGGAGTCAGAGCCACCCAGGAAAATTGTTAGTGGCTCCGTTTAATTAGCACTCCTGCCACCTGCAAACAAGTGGTACTAAAAAAAGGTGCTGAATTCTTGCCATTGAGAATGCCAAAAAAAGACACCACTGGTTTCATTCTGACTACTAGAATCTAATATTTCACTGATTTGGCGGGCAGGGGGCGGGGGGAGGAGGGAGGAAGAAAATACACTTTCACTTTCACCCAAAGGAAATGACTTAACAAGTCACGTTTTAGAAAGGATCATATGGTAATGAGTCCTGCGATCCAGCAATCCTCCCTCCCCCGACCTCCTGGCCTCTGCCTTCCCCTCTGCCTGGTCTGGGCTCCCTCTGCCTCCCACAGAAACTGCCTTCTCCTCAGGTCCACTCTTAGACCTTCCTCCACCAGGAAGCCATCCGGAATCGTCTCTGTAACCCCACAACACTTGAGAGTCTCTTCCCCACAGGTAAGCACTAAGTTATATTTCTTGATAACAACTGCTATTACCTTAACCCTTGTCAAGAACAAGAGCCAAGTATTGTAATAGGAAACCTTGACCACCTTTTGGAAAATAGGCAGGGTAAAAGTGATTGGCATATAAGCCGCTTTATACCTTCCCTGTCTTCCTGAGAGTTGCCAGCACAGAGTTGAGCAACCAAGCAGGTTCTCAGTAAATGGTTGATTGCATGATTGGCAAATGCCTTTGTGACACATCACAGAGCAGGTGGCCGTGGTGAAAATTTGGCAGCTGTGACTCCTTACTTCCTGCTTTAATCAACGTCGTGGGATTGAAATGCTGGACACACAGTAGGTGCTAAATAGATTTTTATGGATTGATTAACCACTGGAGGGACTGTGCCTTATGTGGGATTTATTAATGCTTTTGATGCCAAATAGGGGTAGTTCTAATAGAGCATAATGTGTTTTAAAAAAAAAACAAAAAAACAAAAAAACCCAGCAAACACAAAACCCCAACCAGGACAGAGGCTGGCAGCTGCTCTGTTTACACCCACTGTGCTCCTAGAAACAGATGTCCTGTCAAATCCGGAGGTTTCTGATGAGGCTTCCACTCTTCCGAGTGACCTGCGTGTTCAGTAATCAAAGGGGCCCATGCCCTTCTCCTGCATTAGTGCTCTCTGTTCTAAGACTGATCTCCAGTTATGTGTCTGGGGTAAAGACTTTTGCTGATGAAGGCAAAAATCAGCATCCACTGTGTCTACGCCAAGGGAAAAGCACTGGGCTAATGACAAAAGAAACTGCATTTGTGTGTTTGGTGTGGTAAAAAGAACAGAGGCTTTGGGAAAACCGGGCTCAAATTCCAGCACTGTCACTTACTGTGTGATTGCAGGTGCTCATCTACCCTCCGGTGAACTCGGTTCATCATTCATCACCTACCTCTCTGGAACTCAGTTTTGGGGCTGATAATACCGATTCCACTGGTTGCTGTGAGGATTATCAGGATATCATGGGTAGAGTTCTTGGCACAGTGCTGACACATAGTAGCCACTGGGTAAAGGTCCTTTTGTTGTGGCTATTACTATAAACACAGATAAGGACAGAAGTCCACCTTGGCCACTGTGGGTTCATGTGGCGCCCCAGGTGATCCTGATGTGACTTCCTCTGGTTCCTCCTTAGGTGACAGTGGCCTTTGCAGCACAAGTCCTTGTCTGATGGACTGCACAGATAATGGTCTGTGATCTGAGTGGGGAATGGATGTTCTGGAGTGTTCCAGTCCACTTCCCTATGCACTATGAGTCTGCTCCTTCACTACCCGTCTGCTTGGAGTGTACACATTAGCCCTGATCCCAGTGCCCAGCTTGGGGCTCAGGACAGGGAGGGTTGGCTTTTGGAGTACACACCACCAAGTTGATCCTGTGCTTCATGGAGAAATCTCTGACCATGGTGGAAGAGGTTCCTGGGCACAACACACGAGTCCCATGAACCACACAGAGAGATCCATGCCAATCACGGGGCCCATCCCATGGGCCACAGAGCAGAGCAAAGAATGACCCAGAAAAGATCCCAGACTGCAGCAAGATCTACGTAGAGAGAGAGAGACAGAGGAGACTCCTGACACAATGCAAATCCAGTTTATGTTGCCAAGACACTAGATGCGCTGGGACAGATCACGTGAACAACAGCACTCTGAAATGGAGTTCATGTGCAGACCAGCGCAGACCCTTCATAAATGACTGTGTCCACACTAAACAGCTCCCAGCAGGGCAGCTGGGCAGAGCATTAATGACAAGGAAGGCCTTGGTATCTAACTCTGGAAATCCTTATTTGCATTCAGGCTCTGAGGGATAAAACAAGGATGGGTGAGGACAGGGTAGATAAGCCCACTGGGAGTCTAATTCACACAGCTTTTCTCATTCTCCCTGACAAGCTGGCTCACTTGGTGAGCTGTTACCAAACTCCAGCCCTGAAGACTTTACGGTGCTCCAGAACCAGCACCCTTCGCACCACCACGGCCCGAGGCGGTTCTCCTCTGGATGAGAACTCAACACAGCTCTCTTTTCTGATCCTGCCAGCAGGGAAACTGGGAGCATCCTTTCTCCTTCATCTGGAGAGGGAGCTGAAGAAGGATTCTTGGAGTGCCTATTTTCTTCTTGCAATTGAGGATCATTCAAAATCATCTGTAAGACACTGTGAGTGCCTCACATTGCCAGATCTTAACCTATCCCAGACCCTGCAAACCTTGGCCACATTTCTGTAGTGCCTACGGCTGTCTCATAGGGCGCTACTCCAGAAGGCGGCTGGGTGGACTTTTGTATGTTCAGTCAGTGGATCCATGGAGATTATCTCAGAGGACAGCTTCCTACAGCGTGGAGGAACAGATACACGCCTGTTGCTTTGTTCTCCTTCTTTTTGCGTTGAGTTGACCTGTGTATCAATTTGAAATCCCAAGAAATCCCTCTTTTTTCCATTTTGCTATCTGGTAGTCTTCTATCACTTTTCATTCACCATTTTAAGAACATAGTACTCAAGCCAAAGCTATCAATCACCTTCAGGTGTTGTCTGAGGACCCTTGGGGAGTTTTTCTCCTCCTCCTCCCACTCCTGCTCCCCTCTTTGGCACCTCTGTCATGCTCTCTTAAGGACACGCCAGTTTTCCCGGCTGTCCTCCTCATGAAGGGTGGTTTCCTCCCTGAAGTGCTCCGCTCTGTCCCCTCCCGAGTCCCCGGCTTCACACACACAAACTTTGTTGGATGTTTTTTCCAGGAAATTCAGTTATTCTGACACCAGTGGGCCATTTCCCCAGCGTCCTCATTCCGTTTCTGACAGTGCTCCTGCTACCCTCAATAGATTATTATTATTTATTATTTATCAGCCACGACACTGTACTCTGCTTCCTACAAGATATTAAAGAAGACACAATCCGTGCGCTGAGTTTACAGCCAAGGAGAGCAGAGGCCTGGATCAGACATCACAGGGGGGAGCTGTGAGGAAGGGATTTACCGGCGCAGTCCTCCCTGGCCCTGGCAGATGGGGGCAGCGACTGGCAAAGCCCTCCCCAGGCCAGCTCCTCCCAGCTGGGCCTCCATAGCCAGCTCCCCACACTACCTACCGCACTCTCTCCCGAATTTCTAGCAAGGCCTCAGGCCTTTACCTGGGGAAGCAGAGGGAGGGTGGAGGATAAGGATAAGGCCCTCAGGCCTTTACATTCAGGCGGGGGTGGAGGAGGAGGGCGAGTACAGATATTTCCTCTGAAACTCAAAACCAGGTAAAGGGGAGGTAGGCGAGGAGGGAGAGGTTGGGGAATAAAAACCAGACCCGGAGAGCAGTCAGGGGTGGGGAAGATTGTGCCCAGAGTGGAATATTCTAGCATAAGGGAAAAGCCCTCATTGGGGGTCCCACACGCCTCCGGCCAAATCTCTTCTATTAGGGTTAGAAGTTAGGGTCCGTGTAGACAGCACGTGTAGACCGACAGGGGGTGGGACTGAGAAATCAGTGTAGACAGTGTGAGAGCCAGCGAGCTGTGGTGGGGGTGGGTAGTCAGTGTAGACATCAAAGGCTGGTCAGGCTGTTAAACAGAGAAGGCTTCGGGGATTCCTAAGGGTCAGTATGAACAGAAAAGTTCGCGCTCCTCGAGGAGAGGCAGGGCTGACTCAGAAGGCTGGTGGACACTATTTGCAGGGCTCTCCCTGGTCCTTCAGAGGGGTGGGCAATTCCTGCTTCTTTCCAAGGTTGGAGTGTTATAAGGAGGTCGGAAGCTGAAAGACGATTGGACTTTTCCTTCTCAAACTTTTCCGCCAGTTTCCTCAGGTGTTGAGAGCAGACGGGGAGCTCGCCTTGGTCCCGGTCCCCCAACCCTGAGCCGGCAGCGCCGGGAGGCAGCGGCGGAGAAGCCCGTGCCACGCGCCGTGCGTCTGCCGGGCGCGGCCGTGGAGCCAGGCGAGCCGGGGGCCACCGCGGGGGGCGGGGGCGGCGGACGGACGGAACGACAGATGCACCCGCGAGCACTCCGCTCCGGACCGGGCGCGCCGCGGCCAGGGATCCCTCCGGCCCGGGGAGCTGCGCGCCGGGCCGGGCCGGGCCGGGCCGGGGGGCCCCGCCTCCCCCACCCGCCACCCCCGCCCACTCGGGCGCCCGTGATTGGCTCCGCCCGCCCCTGGCTGCGCGCCGAAGCCCGCCTCCCTCGCAGCTAAAGCAGACGGTACCCGGAGCGGAGCGAGCCAGAAGGGAGCATGGTCCCCGCGCCGCGGCCGCGCCAGCCCCCGCGCCGCCGCCGCCGTCCCCGCCACCGCGGATCTCGCCGCAGCTCCAGCCCCGGCCCCGGCTCCGCAGCGCCCGTCCGCAGCCCCGGCGGTCGCCGCGCCTGAGCGCAGCCCCCGCCCGGAGCCCGAGCCGCGAGCCCGGAGCCAGCCCCAACCCCGCGGCCGCCGCGGCTGCGGGGAGAGGGCGGGGGCGATGCTGCCGGAGCCGCCGCCGCCGCCGCCGCCTCGATGAGAGCCGCGCCGCACCGCGCATAGCCGCACAGGCTGACAGGCAGGAGGACCGACTTCCCTCTCCCGGGCATCCTCCCTGGGCTGCCGGGAGGCGGCGGCGGCGGAGGAGGAGGAGGAAGAACGAGGGGAGAAGGCGGAGAGCAGGAACGCGAGGAGGAGGACCTGGATCCGTTTCCTCCGGCCAGGACCCGAGCGGCCCCAGCCACCGCTACTCGCCGGCGCCGTCCGCTCTCCATCAGCCCTCCTGCGCCCACCCGCGACCCCGGGCTCTCTGCGCGTCGGGCCGGGGCCGGAGCCGCGCGGCCGGAGGTAAGAGCCGGGCCGGGCGGGAGCGCCTCGGATGCGGCGCTGAAGGGAGACCCAGGTCCTGGCCGCCGCGCGGGGCCGGGCCGGGCCGGGCGTGGGAGCGGGGCCGGAACCCGGAACGCTGGGCTCGGCTCCGGCGGCGGCGGCGGCGGAGACAGGAGCCTCCCGCGTCTGGACTCGCAGGCTGCAGGAGCCCTTGCGCCTGCGCTGCTCCAGGGGGAAAAAAAGGAGGGGGGGATAAAAACTTCCTGCCCCCGGGTGTGTATGCACTGGGGCTGCCTGGGGACACTGTCACGGTGGTCGGAGGTGCTGGAGGCGAGTGTGACCCCTGGCCGGAGCAGCCCCCCTTCTGGGCCCGGCGGCGCGCGCCCCTCTCCAGGCCACGTTCCCCTGAGCGGCCCAGGGCCCCGGCCGGGCAGGGGGCCTGGAGGCGCCAGAGGGCTGGCCCCCAGGGGCGGCCGCGCGCACTGCCCTTTGGGGATGTGCGCGCCTCTGTGCAGCGAGAAGCCACGTTGGGGTTTTCTGCCCCTCGCGTCCTCTGATCCCGCATTTGGGGACAGGGTCTCTTTACTCAATCCCAAGTAACTTTCGAGGTAGAGGAGCTCGAAAACCGTCGGGAGGGAACCGCACAGACCTTGTTGTGACCCCCCCCCCGACACACAGACACACACACACACACACACACACACACACACACACACTCTTGACATCTTGTGGGTGCCAGCGTGTTGTGGGGGAACGCGGAAAGGAGAGCTCACGGGGATGGCAAAGGAGCCAGGAGGTGGTGTCGGTGGGGAGGGGTTGTTGATGTGTGGGACAGGGTGGACCTGGAGATGTGTAGTGTGGGAGTGTGAACGCGCGCCCCAGTGGCCGCGTGGGGCCCGGGGTGGGGGGCCCAGGGCTCGCGTCCCGGTCTCCGTGGCCTGGAGCGGGCTGAGAGCGCGAGGGTTATCTGCGGTCGCCGCGCGGTTGCCCGCGCTGGACAGCGTCGGCCCCGGGCCCCGAGGGAGGGACGTGCTAGCCCGGGGCCGGAGCGCTGTGCTTGGAGCCGGAGTAGGTCGGAGGCGGCTCCCAGGGCAGGTCGCCTCTGCGTTGGCTGGGGAAGGCGGGGACGCGCTGCCTGCCTGCGGCCAGCCGTCTCGGAGGAGGGGGTGGCGGCCATGCGCGAGTCTCGGATGCCTGGGTCCGCCCGCTGAGAAGCCAGTTGTCGTCCCCGGGCTCTGGAACCGAGCGGCAGACGCGGTCCGTTGGCGGGCCCTCGCGCGGGCCCCCAGGGATACTGATGGGTGAGGAGCTGCCGCTGCCGCCGCCGCCGCTGCCATCCCTGCCGCTCTGCAAACGTTCTCCTCCCTCCCTCCCGTGCTTGCGCCGCGGCGCGCCCCGGGCGAATCGTGGACGCAGGTATTTATGTAGCATTAGGCGAGACCTCGGCGCTGGAGGGACCAGACCGTAGAGGACGCCCAGCTGCCGCTGCCCGCGAAACTTCCACTTCGGCAGCTCAGCGGCATCCCGGCCCCGCTGCTGCAGGTTCCAGCCTCTCTCCAGTCCAGCAAAGCTGGGATTCGGACCCCTCTTGCGATGACAGATCTGTCCTGGTTACGGCTTTATTTATCCTAGTTTCAGTCTCTTTAAAGCCATCTGTCTAGTCACTACAGAGTTTCTTCTTCGCCGTGTGATCTTATCACTAACTCAGCCCTGGGAGGTCAGATTTGAGGAATTGCTTCATTTTCAGATGAATGACAGCAGACTTGTCTCACCTTACTCCTGATTTATTTTTATTATTATTATTGAAGGTATAGAGCTTTTTAATTTTTTTGTGAGGGAGGAGAATGAACAATTTTATAGATTGTTCATTCTGACACTTAGAGAAAACATGTCCAGTAAGCACTGGTGAATACTTTAAAGGCTGGTTGGCATGCATGTATTTGATTAGTCCGTAATCTAGGTGTTTATACAGGTATGGAGCTGTGTGCTACTGATGAATAGTCTCCGTCCCATACATTGTGCTGTAGTGTACTTGATTTATCACCCTGCTATAAATCAGGGAATTACTAGCACGTGTGCCTTTAAACTCTATATGAATTTAATGGCATTAAATTGGTTTATGGGCTGATGCATCTAACCAATTTTAATAACTTTTCTGCACAAACAGCTTATAAACCATATTTGCCTATGATTAAGAAAAACATTTTCTTCTCGGTCTCTCTATATCTAGTGCGGTTATGGAAATTTATAGGTCTCCAACTTTCATTTGCAAGCAGCAATCCAAACGAAATACCTAGAGTTTTACTGAAATAAAATATCCTATGGTAGCCATGGTAACAAATAGATTAAGGGTTATTGGTTTTCATCTGAATGTGATGGGGGGTGGGGATCTAGTGTTGTGTCTTTTTAATTATGTTTCTAATGAGTGGTGGTCATACTTCAAGTACTCAGAGTGGAAGACAAGCAAGACTGAGAATTCAGTTTTGTGGGAGGTTTATTGAAACAAAGACTAGTAGAGCCCAGGAGAATGACTTCTGCTATCTGCAGCTCCTCATACCTAGAACAAAATGGATAAAAACCTTTTTTTTGTTTTTCCGGTAGATGAGCATTCAGTCAGTCACTTTAAGACTGGAAAATGCATTTTGCTTATAAACTATTACCACAGGAACCTTAAAATCCAGCCTGTTTTCTAGGAATAAGCATGTTGGAAGTATGGCGGTTGGTGTGGATTCAGTGTCACCGTTGTTATCAACACCTGTCAGTTTAAGTGAGGCACATCATTAGTCTATTCAAATCTTGCCTATTTCAATATTCATGCATTTCCATGGTGATCCATTCATTTTTGTTTATTTAGTCAATCTTATAAATCTTTGGCATCAATTTTAGTTGTGCCATCTTTTTATTTCTTTTATCAATTGATTTGGCTACAAACCATTCCTAGTTTAAAGTATTTCCTTCTTTTTTCCTGCTAGTTTCTAAAAGCCTACACTATTCCCAGCTACATACAGATATAAAGGAGTTAATTTTTTTTTCATCGACTCAAATAGCACCCCTAATACTAATGTCATTTTTTTAGCATCTCATTTGATATGTA